GATTAATTTAAGCGCGAACAAAGTGTACTGGATGGTAAGGAAACTTAAAGTATGCAGATTTTTAAACCAAGCTAAGCTAATGTCTTTTGCGTTCTTATTTCAAAGTAGTTTGCGACTGTTTGCATCATTCATTGTTGTATAAATCTAATGTTAATATTCAGTATTTTTGTTTGGTTTCAAAATTAGCTGGCTTGGGACCGTAGCTTTAGAATAAATATAAAACAGCATAAAAGAAAGAAGTTTTTGATAAGATATAAATGAATCAGATTTCATGATTCTAATACTATTCACAACAATCCGGCTATCGATCTCATTGCTTTATATCAAAAATTTGGTAGTAAACGAGCACAACAAAAGAATTGATTTAGCTTCTATTCAGATTTTTGTTTAAAAAAAATTGTGAAAATGATTGAATAGTCATGCATGTGCCACTAAATCGCCATGCCAAAATGTTCATCCAGTTTTTCCAGAATCGCGATACGCATAGTTCTTCCAGAATTGCAAATTTAGTTGCAAAGAACACGCAATAACACGTAAATAAAGCCAGCAAAACTTATGCTATTTTATCTATATGCGTTTTTATACAGCCCGCTTTAAACACTTCTTTGACTTGCGATTGGCGCCATAGTTTGATTTACCACCTATCACCACGCGCCAATCAAAAAACAACTCAACAAAACAGTTCCTCGCGATACTGAGAAAATGTTTCGAAATTTTTTATTCAAGATCAAATAACGACTTAGAGGCCGAAATAAGTTATATCGCGTGATCCATCTGACGTTTAATTGTTAATTTAATTGTTGAATTGTTAGTTATATAGTTCTGCAGTATATTTTTTGATAATCCTTAAATAAACTATATCACTCGATCCGTAAATAATTCTTGCATCTTCGACAACAATTTTTTAATCGATTTCAATTATCCCATAGCTATGCCTTTTTTTAAAAAGAGCGTCGATATAAAAAGTAGATCAATATATTTTCCAATTCAAAAACTTAAATGAAAGAAACGGGAATATATCACTCATTTCAAGTAAATTGATAACAATAAGTACTAAAAATGACAACTCCACAAAATTAAGATACAAAGCTCAACTGCATCTTTCAGCATAAATGAAACACAAAAAAATGTAAATTTATGCCAAATTAAATTGTTCCTAAATTTGCTAAATTTGCAAATGCATAAGTAAAATTTGCAAATTTCTAAGGACCTTGTGAGCAATCTCCCTCCAAACTGATTTAGGGCGATAAAGTTAACTTAGTTAATTTCGCTTTTTTCGCAAATTGAGCAATGCAATTTTTCAAAACTTTAAAACGCTTTTTTCTCACATTGAGTTGAAATAAGGTGAAAAGTGATCTTATTTTTAATTTTGCTTAATATTTTAAAAGAATTTATATGGTGCAATTTGTTTTGCGAAACTTCAGCCCAAAATTGTACCCTGAAAACTGACCATTTTTGAGGTTTCAGTCAATCAAAGTTACGCTACAATTACCGCGTCAGTTTCTTCAAAAACTATTTCAAAGTGAGCCTCTTACGTAGTCCAGCGAAATTCAAGCAGAGAATAAATTCCAACAGTTTGAAAAAAATTAAATTCAAATTTGATTGATAACCAAGAAAGTTGTTTTTACTATATAAACCACCAATATTTTATTTAAAAACAACTTTTTGAAATTTTCACGCAGTTTTTTGGAGATTATGCTCTGCCTAAACTTTGTTAGAATCTAAAGGAGGCTCATTGTGGTGCAGTTTTTTAAGTAATTGACCCAGAAATTGTAGCATAATTTTCGATTGACTGAAAAAACTCAAAATGATCCGTTTTCGGGTTAAGCTTTTGGGTCCAATTGTAGCAAAACAAAATGCACCATTTTAATTCAAACAAAAATTGAAATTTGTCTTCATCACTTCTCTCTTAATTTCAACCCAATTTGAGAAAACGCTCTTTAAATTTCAAAATTTTTGCTTCTCGTACGGCTTTAGTGAAAATAATCGCTGGTGAAATATCTTTTTAATTTTGAGCTAAGGATATTAAAATTATTCGACTGATCTAAAAAAATTCCGTCAAAAATCGATTACCAAAAAATCCAATTTGCCAGGAGAAGAAAACCACCGCAACCAAAAATACCGTGCCAATTTTTTTCTGAAGTCGGAACACCATTTTGGATTATTATCAGGCTGTTACAACTTTGATTAAAAGAATGCTCGATTATCACCAGAGTTTTTAGCATTGTTATCCAATTAATTGTTCACTTTGTCTATTATTTGGTTGGGGGATAGAAAGTTCATTTGCGGGGCGAGTAATTTCACATGTGCCTAATTTGCTTTTCAAGTTGAATAACAATAAGATAATTCTTTTTGGAATTTCGACTGCCTAAAGGTTCGAACAATAAAAAAAATAGGGTTGAAAAAATTAGTACAATCTGTGAACAACCTTCCCCTTAACTAGACCAAACGAACAATCTCCTACTTAAAGTTAAATGGCAAATTCAAGCAGTAAGGCCTGAACTTACTATGCTAAAATCTGATTGGCCGAAAAATATAATTTTTAACCAAGTGAACTATCTCCTTCTTAATTTGATTTAGGGGAAAATTGATCACTTGGTCCCTAATTTTGTTAGTAAAAATTTAAATTGATAAAAAATGGTACTTTACTATTATGTGAACCATTTTACATTTTCGAGTTGAATAAATTTAAAATTCCAGAAATTGTTTTTGCATAACGGAAAGGTTACTTGCGACGGTTTTTCCCATAAAATTGCGTACGTTTTTATGAAAAGAACTGAACGAGGTAGCTGAAAGTGATCAGCGATTGTGATCTTCCTATATTTTTGTCGGAGATCCAATGGAAACGAAAGTCTAGCAAAAGATTTCAAAAAAAATCTGCAATTTTTGATTTTTGGTTTGAATTCGCTTAAATTTACTGGAATCTCAAAGAAAAAGTAGAGATTTTCTCAACATTGAGCCAACCAATTTATTTTAACGAGAGATCAATTCAAACAAATTGCGTTAAGTTTTCAACCATGAGTAAATCAGCGGTTCTCCGTAAAGAGCCGGAACACCATTTTGGATTATTATCAGGCTGTTACAACTTTGATTAAAAGAATGCTCGATTATCACCAGAGTTTTTAGCATTGTTATCCAATTAATTGTTCACTTTGTCTATTATTTGGTTGGGGGAGAGAAAGTTCATTTGCGGGGCGAGTAATTTCACATGTGCCTAATTTGCGTTTCAAGTTGAATAATAATAAGATAATTCTTTTTGGAATTTCGACTGCCTAAAGGTTCGAACAATAAAAAAAATAGGGTTGAAAAAATTAGTACAATCTGTGAACAACCTTCCCCTTAACTAGACCAAACGAACAATCTCCTACTTAAAGTTAAATGGCAAATTCAAGCAGTAAGGCCTGAACTTACTATGCTAAAATCTGATTGGCCAAAAAATATAATTTTTAACCAAGTGAACTATCTCCTTCTTAATTTGATTTAGGGGAAAATTGATCACTTGGTCCCTAATTTTGTTAGAAAAAATTTAAATTGATAAAAAATGGTACTTTACTATTATGTGAACCATTTTACATTTTCGAGTTGAATAAATTTAAAATTCCAGAAATTGTTTTTGCATAACGGAAAGGTTACTTGCGACGGTTTTTCCCATAAAATTGCGTACGTTTTTATGAAAAGAACTGAACGAGGTAGCTGAAAGTGATCAGCGATTGTGATCTTCCTATATTTTTGTCGGAGATCCAATGGAAACGAAAGTCTAGCAAAAGATTTCAAAAAAAATCTGCAATTTTTGATTTTTGGTTTGAATTCGCTTAAATTTACTGGAATCTCAAAGAAAAAGTAGAGATTTTCTCAACATTGAGCCAACCAATTTATTTTAACGAGAGATCAATTCAAACAAATTGCGTTAAGTTTTCAACCATGAGTAAATCAGCGGTTCTCCGTAAAGAGCCAAATAGCTTGTATCTTTCAATGGTAGGAAAATTGAATTTAATTTTAACAGAATTTTAGACATGAAGCTTCGAAACAAACATGTTTTTAGACATGAAGCGTTGAAACAAAATTGAAGCTTGATCAACTGTTAGGCTAAAAGTTTTGATTTTCCGAGCTGATTCGAAAATAAGGCAAATTTTTATTTAAATGAACAAATTTCAAAATGGTGTTTTTATTTAATAAAAAAATGTTTGTTTTGAATGTTGTTTTTTAAAAAAATGTTTCAAATCCAAAAATACTATTTTTCATCTCAAAATAGGGGAAGCTGAAAGAAAAGCGGTGACTAATTGGATTTTCAGTTTATTTTTTTTAAAGTTCCAGATTTTTTTTGAAATTTTTTTTTGCAATATAGGAGGAGTTGACAATCTTAAAAATATTGCAATTACTTTTTTTAACCGAGAGCAGAAAAGCGGTTCTCCGTAAAGAGCTAAACAGCTTGTATCTTGTATCTTTCACTAGTGGAAAAATTGAGTCTAATTTTTTTACAGATTTTTTTTTGTTTTTTAGACATGAAGCGTTGAAAGAAAAAGTGGAGCATATTTAACTGTTAGTTTAAAAAAATTGATTTTCCGAGCTGATGTGAAAAAAAATTAAATTTTTGTAATATGAACGAATTTCAAAAATGGCGTTTTTATTTATAAAGAAAAACTTTTTTATTCTGAGTGTTTTTTGTCGAAAAAACGTATAAAATCGAAAAGTACTGTTTTTCATCTCAAAAAACGGGGAGCTGAAAGAAAAGCGGTGACTAATTGGAGTTTCATTTTGTTTATTTTTCAATGTTTCAGTTTATGTATTCAAAAACTTTTTTTAAAGATACGAGGAGTTGAAGGATAAAACGGAAACTAATTGGAATTTCAGTTGTATTCTTCCAAAGATTCTGGTTGTTTTTCAAAAACACTCTTGTTTTTTTTAAGAAACGAGGAATTGAAAGAGAAAGCGGTGACTAATTGGAATTTCAGTTTATTTTTTTCAGAGTTGCAGTTTATTTTTTCAAAATTTTTTTAAAGATACGAGGAGTTGAAGGAGAAAGCGGAGACTAGTTGGAAGCGCAAGATAGTGGACAGTCTCTCGTTGCCCTCTGACCCCAAACCAGGAGTGGTGGACTACATCTTCTTCTACCTCCGCTACCCCTTCACCCTCCTCTTCTGCCTAGTGCCCCCACCAGGAATCATGGGGGGATGGGCCGCTTTCGTAGTCGCAATATGCTTCATCGGGGGAATGACAGCTGTCATTGGTGAGTCACACTGTGATAGAATTTTGGTTTAAAAAATAGTCAAAGAGGTTTGTTTTTGTTTTCAAATTTTTTATGTGAAAAGAATATCTCGTGTGCTAAAAAAAATGAAAAAAAGTATAAAAATATTGTTAAAAAGCTGAAAAATCGGACAAGTAAATGATGAAAACTATTTGCAAGCTTGTCACTGTTTTCACAAATCGAAATTTTCATCATTACTGAAATTAGAGAAGGGATATTTTATGCAGTTTTTTTCCATTTGATTTCAAGTTCTTAACTTTTTGATTATGTTTTTAATCCTTTCGGAGGAAAAATTCAATTCGCAAAACTAAGAGTTCGGTATAAAGTGTACTACCTACATAGCAAATGTTTTGTTTTCTATGCTTTAATTCGTGGGGTATCCTCATGATGGAGGGACCGAATGATGGAAAAGTTTTAACCAATCAGCATTGTTAGATGTTTTTATTGGCTAAACAACTTATACAAAAAACCGAAGTAACTAGAAACAAACAATGAATTAAGGCAACTCAGCAAAGTTTTCTTATGCACTTCGTGCAGATATGCAATAAAATGTTTTTCTTTTCTAAAATCGGGTTTAGGTGTTTTCAAATTCTTAAACCATTTGGCAATACATGAAAATTTAAGTTTCTGCTTATTTTTTAAGCAATCAATATTAATTTTATTGTTCTCGACTTATTTGCTCTCTTTGAAAATTTGATTTTTTTTTTCAGATTTTGAATACATCTGATTGGCTGAAATTGGCAGAAATTAAATTTCCAACATTTGACTCTCTGTAAATATTCTCTCTTTCTTGGTTTTTTGATCGTTTTCAGCCAATCCAATTGAAAATTCGAAAATCTCAATGAAAGAAAGCAAACAAAACCAGGCAATTAAAATTAGTATTGACCGTTTAAAAAAAGATCAGATACATGAATTTTCAAATATTGCAAAACCTTTTAGGTATTTTTATAAAATCTAAAAGCTATTTTGAAAATTGAAAAAAATATATTGTACATCTGCATTAATTGTACAGCAAATCCTTGCTTGCTCTTTCAATTCTTTTTTGTTAAAATGACTTCGATTTTGTGTAAAAGTCTTTTAGCCTATAGGAACGTCTGTCGATTCTGATTGATTAAAAGTTTTCTATTTTTTGGTCCCTCCATCATGAGAATACTCATATAGAATTTTTCTGTTAAACAACCCAAAATTACCATATTTTTTTTCAGGTTGACCTCCATACACAAAAAAGCTTATCAAACAATTCCATACAAGAAAAATTCTTATCATCTAATTTCTATAAAAAAAGTGATGACAAGCTATTTTTACCTGGCTGCAAAAAAATAAATTTCAGGGTTTTCTTATCCCAATTTGTAGTCGCGATATCCTTTTCATGCTTAAAATTTGTTATTTTGTCTAACCTAGTCCAGGCTGAATTTTCATACAAAAGAAACAAACTTGACTCAAGATGTTTGGGCAAGTTCAAACTTGAAAAATATAGTTTTTTTATTATTAGATATACTTCAATTTGTCAAAAAAATTTCGCCACAATTTTCGACAAGTGAAACTTTTGACTAACAAACTTTCAAACGAAGTACAAAAGTTTCAGGTTTTTGTCCATTGTCCTGAGTGAAATGTGAATTATTATCTGATACATTAACCATTCAGATGCGAATACCTGTGAGATTGTTTTCCCCAATCAATGGAATTTTTATGTGTTGGTTATTTTATTTTCGGATAAACCTTAAAAACATTTAGCAAAACAGGAAAAACCAGGGGCGGATCTAGGATTTTTTCGAGGGGGGGGGGCGGATTTTCAAAAAATTTTGGAAAATTTTGACGACCTTTTTTTTTTTTAGGTCGACCAAATTGATTTTCCGAGCTCTTCTAAAGCACTGAAAGGTCCCTGTTTTGGCCAAATTTTCAAGTTTTTAGGGGCACTTTTTGAAAAATTTTGACAAAAAAATCGCGTTTTTTTTTGGCGCGCGCTCCCCCTCAAAGTTAGTATATATTGGCGCCAAAGGCGCCTTTAGAAAAATTTTAGGGTCGGTCGGCAAAAAATGGATTTCTTAAAAAGTACCAAAGGGGGACCCCCCTAAATCCGCCCCTGGGAAAAACTATAAATTTTCGATCTATGAAGAGATGCTTCTCACTGAATTTTTATTTATGAAGTAGCGCTTGTCGTAGTACATTTTTCTTACAACTTTCTCTAAGAATGGACTTGTACGAAACTGAATGATTTTCCATATATGAAAATTTTAATTAACTCCTTTCAGTCTTTTGAACAATCTTTAAAGGTAACACTTTAAAGGTAATTAAATTAATCAGTTTTCAGACTTTTGAACCAATTTTAAAGGTAGCAGAAACGTCACACTTGGTTAAGTCATTTTTACTAAAAGTGTTTATGGTTTTTAAGGTATGTTTTAAATTAATTAAACCCTAAATTTTTTTTGTGGTTGAAAAAAAATAATCTACCTAACACCACCCCCCTATAGTATCTACTAAAGAATCTCACCCCTCTAAATAATAAAACAGTAAACTAGCCCTAGCGCTTTCTTTCGAGAATTCTAAGTTGATTGCATTTTGATTGGTCGAAAAATCAACTAACTTAATCTACTCTACAAAATCCCCTTTCTTGAGTCGATTAAGTAGATCTTAAAAAAAAACATTATTAGGTGACTTGGCGGGTGCTTTCGGCTGTACAGTTGGGCTCAAGGACGCCGTCACAGCCATCACTCTGGTAGCTCTCGGGACCAGTTTGCCGGACACTTTTGCCAGCAAAGTGGCAGCCACGAACGACAAATATGCTGACAGCAGTGTGGGCAATGTGACAGGGTCCAATGCGGTCAACGTGTTCCTCGGAGTGGGCGTCGCATGGTTCGCCGCTGCTGTGTACCACGAGTTTAAGGGTGAGTTAGGGTGGAGGACTGGTTTCTAGCTTTTTCTACCATTTTTGCCCCCGCCTGTGATTTTAATCATCCTAATTTTTGTTCTGAAATTTTGGTCCGATTGTTTTGAAAACCAGCATGTGAGCTAATTACAAAAATGCAAACTCATTTAGTGTTCATATACTTCCTCGTAAAATAAATATGGACTCCGCTCAATGCTTTAACCTGTATTATGTAGAAGAGCCATAATCTGGTGACAGAAAGTCAGAATGGCAGAAAATTTGAGCATAGTCTTAAGATTTTATGAGGAAAATTCAGCATTTCACTGTTTCTATTTATAATTTTACACTAATTGTTTCTGCGAATTTGATGATTTTTTGGGTGCCAGGCAAAAAACGACAGGCCATTAAGAGGACAAGAGATTAACACGACAAATGAGCGTTAAAACATGTAAAATAAGCTGGTCAAATTTAAGCGGTTAATTTAGGGGGGTATTTTATTATGAAATTATAGCTTTGTTTATTCAGGTACCGAAGGTGGTTTCATCGTGTGCGAAGGAAGTCTGGGCTTATCAGTCACCGTATTCGTAGCCGAGGCAATCATCTGCATAATTTTCCTGATGCTTCGAAGGGTGTTTCTCGGCTCTGAACTGGGGGGACCGACCGGTGCAAAGTACTTCACCGCTGCCTTTTTCGTTATGCTCTGGCTCACCTATATCATTCTCTCTACCCTCAATGCTTATGACGTCATTGCGAGCCCAATCTAGCTATCAATAAGCAGAAAATCGAAAAAGCCGAAAAAAAAATTCTGGCGAAGTCATTAAGCTTGATTAACTTTATTAGAAGCTTCTATCCCGCTTTTAATAAACCAATCACTAACTCATAACAACAAATATTGCAATTCGTTTTTATATACAATATCGTACGAACAACCGTGAAACCCCTCCCTCTCTCCCCAGCTCAAATCGCAATTTTTTTTTTTAAAAAACGGAAAATTTTTTTTGCCTACCAACATTTGAAAAAGACAATTCTTCACCTTTGGTTAAATGGCTGCTTAAAATTTATTGATATACCTTTTTTTTGTTCTGTAAGTCCATAAAAACTATAGGCTTTTATTTTTAGAAATGTTCAAAATAATCAATTATGAACTTTCAATTTTTCAAATATTAGTTTTATTCATGTAGTACTGAGCCACTGAGGCGGGCGGTTGTCGCGTCAATAAACTTTTCAATTAGCTAATTTGGATATGCTTTCAAATTCTTAAATGGTGAAGTGAATTTTCTATTTATGAGTTTATAGATAATTATAAAAACTGAAAATTCGATTCGGCAATTCTTAAATTAATTGGTTCCATGGAGCTATGAGAAACAAAAATTGTTTTTTTTTTTCGATGAGGCAAACTTGTTCAGTTTTCAGCAAATTTTTATCATACCAAATAAAAATAAAAATTGAGCAAATTTGTTCTATCGAAAAAAAAAACAACTTTCTCGTAAAAATAATTAACTGAAGTTATTATTGCGTTTAAAAAAGCTCTCATTGTGAATAGTTTTCAAATGTTTTTTTTTGAAAAGTTTCTGAAGAAATTTTCAGTTGTACTGTGTCTAGTCACAAATTAGAAATACCTTAAGGGTGTTGGGTATAACTTTTGTTTGTGCCTATGAATTGATTCAATTTAACTAACCTTTTCAAACTGCTTGTGTAATTTCAATCGTAGTTGTAAAGCTCAAACGAAACCATAATCAATCATCATTAACTTAAATTGTGCTTTGTGTACCTTTTTTCAAATGCAACAAACCTAGAATATTCCAGAGATATAACTAACAATTTTTAGGGTGACGTTTCATATAGTATACATGTTAAACAATATAATCCCATTAATCTATATTTTCGGTTACGTTCTATCGAATTAACCTGTTAAACCAAAATTTTAAAACAGAGTTCTTCTGGAACGAAAACTCAATGTGAGTTATGACATGTATACGTTATGATTCGTAACGTTTTCTTGCTACCAGCCTTAAATTAGACTTACGCGCCTTACCTGATCTGAATGACTTTATTTCTTTTATATAAATGAGAATTTTATTTATGGATGGATACGAATTGATTTTGCAAATATGAGTTTTTTCATCACGACAAAGGTAGTATTTTTGGATCCCATTAGTATCTTCTTTCCTGCATTGATCACAACAAGATCCGACGCACCAGGGGAGGATCTAGAGTTGGGGGGTGGATTAAAAAAATCGACACTTTTGTCAAACATTATTTTTACTTAGCTTGACCAAATTGATTTTCCGAGTTCTCCCAAATCACTCTAATATTTGACAAAATATTAGAGTGATATTGAGTCAAGTATTTGAAAAACCAGGCCAAAAAAGACGTTTTGACCGAAAAGTAGCGTTTTTCGGCCAGCGCTCATCCCTCAAAATTAGTATACATTGGCGTCAACTGGCGTCAACTTACTTTAAAAACAGTTTCTCTGAGACAAAACTTTGCACATGGCCATGCAAGGATTGCCGACAATTGGCGTTCTGATTTACGATAATTTTCAGGGGAATGCCCTTTCAACTCATGTTGTAGAGTCATAATAATAATAATAATAATAAATTATCGACGCGCTTGCAACAATCAGTACAGAGACTAAGTCCACGGGACCAGTTGAGTCCTATTTTTAAAGGTTCCTCTGCTGAAATCAACACAACATATCATCTGAACGCTGTGAAATTGCTTTCTTAAAAATAAACAAAGCAGACTGATTGTTTTGCTAATTGTTCCGACTTTCGATACGAAAGTAACGGAATATTTGTGCTCGGGTGGGTTTTTTTTTCTTCAGACAAATTTCGACTTTTTAACTCGCCATTTTTGACGGAGTTTTTTTATATCATTCAAAAGCTATTAACTTCTTGAGCTTGAATTTGAAAAGATATTTTACCTGTGATGATTTTTCATAAAGTTATGGGGGTTTAAAGACTGCCATTTTGGCCAATTTGGGACAATTAACGCGCGATAAATTTCGCGCTATTAACGCGTAAGCGGAGATTTAATCCGTCTTAGAAATCGTTCCAAATTGGTTCAAGGATGCTTTTATGCCATAATTGATTTGTTAATAGAGGCAAAATCTATCACTTTGTACTTAATATGACGTTGAGGGGGATGTTTTTACATAAAATCTCAAATTTTTTCAAAAATTTTTATTTTTTATTTTTTCTACATTGAAAATTTTCATATTATTAATGCTCCATAGACCTTAAAAGGCAGTCGGGACATTCAGGGCTTCGCCCTGATACGAGCAGTCTTGTTTATTTGAATTTAAAATTTTTGAATTTGGATTAGCATAATTATTACAATGCACGATAAAATGGTTTTCTAAAAACATAGTTGGTTTTGTTTTTAAGAAAATCTTCTTAAGAAGATCAATGAAACATAGCGTCTGGGATCTTCGAAATTGTATTTTTTGAAATCAACCGGTAAGTAAAAATCAAGAACCACTCGTGTCCAAAAATTCGAGCGCCCAAAATTTTCATCCTATAAATTTTACAAAGAAAGCCTGATTTTATTGCTGTTTTTTTTTTAATTTTTAGAAATTTGTGTTCCAATGGGCTACACATTTTTCAGGGATGAGGTAATGATTGATTTTCTCAAATATTTGATACTTTTTTATAGGTTCCTTAAATTGACAAAATATAGCAGCTGTCTACAGATGATTACGTTCTATGAAATCGATCACTAATTAATTTTCATGGATAGCTTTTAAGTTCAAAAAAAAGAAATTTTTCTGCTAAGTTGTTTCAAATTTGATCGAATCTGAGTTCAAGTTGGGTGACATAAATATCAGGATAGAAGAATCGAATGCTCAAACCCTGCAAACCCTGCCTAAAGTTTTTTCCAACCTTCGTTAAAATCGATAAATCATAACACCTGATTTTTTCAACGGGTGCGGTCGTTGAAATTAACTAAAAATTAGGTTTCCGGAACGACTTTCATGAAGGAGGGACCCTCGAAAAAACGAAAGCCCGATAAGTTATTACAATATACTTTTCAAAACGTATTTTCTGGCTCATTCATTTTAGTTTTTCCAAAGTCTGAAATCAAACTGTGTGAAGAAAATTTCAGGATTGCGGATTTACTCAAATTCTTAATCCTTTGATCAAATATTCCCTCGTTGAAACGGAGAATTAATAGAAACTGGTATCTTCATTGGTAACTTTCTTTCAAATCAGATACTTAAAAGTCTTCGTCACAACTCTAATGATCCAAAAAAGCTGAGCACCCCAAAATATTCATTCTTTAAACTGTGCGAAATTGTTTCTTCCCTATTTTTTTTTTTGAAAATTTCATATCTAAATTGAAATTCGATGGCTTTTTTTGCAGACATGCGGTAACTGTAGAGTTAGGGGATTTCTTCTCTAGGTTCGTTCTCTCTTTCCTAACGACACCGCGAAGTCGTCCCTTGGGCAGTGAATTCAGTGGGGCGACCGAGATTCACTAATATCTACAAACCCGAAAGGGTTAATTTGGTGGCAGCTATTCTGTATTGTATTATGTGGCTTGCCCCTCTGTGTATTGCTCTTCGGCTGTCTTGTCTCGTCTAACAATCGCTAGAATTTCCTATGATGAAATAATTTAGATGATTATATGTCCAATTGCAGAAGGCTCTGAGTGGCCAGGATATAATCTAATAATCAAATCAAAAGGAAAGGGTCCGCGATTTAACGGCCAAATAGCCTAATTGCAATTAACTTCCAACTATCTCCTTTGACACTAACTATTCTCTCTCTCTCTAGAGAATCTCTGATGAGAACTAACTATCTACTGGTCTCTTACTTCGAGAACCAATTACCTGACTAACTAGCAATAATTGTTCTCTCTAACTAACGGAGAACCAACTATACTCTCTCTCAGTATCAATTGCTCTCATCTCTGACGAGAACCAACTACCCTTAATAGTAGCTAACACTGTTCTGACTCTTACAGGCTCTCCGGTTCCCTCTACTTCCTTGTCTTTCTTTACACCTAGTTTTAGTTAAGTCACGCCATTCCCTACCAGTCCTGACATCCGCCTAAATCACCCGTCCGCACATGTTTAAGACTATATCCTTCCCACTGTTAACTCTACACACAAGATGTATGTTGCCACTACCTATGCTATCCCAAAGTTTCAGCTTCCTGTGTTCAGTGGGGTCCGAGAAACGACTCCCGGAAGTCAAGTTGGGGTCTATTTGCATGGGGCATAAAACCAGAAGTACTGGTCCAAGGGGTCTGGTAATCTAAACTTAAGCTTCCCTCAACTAGGTCTATAACATACTTTTTTTTGGTTCCATTCCGACCACTAGTTACCGTGTTCTGCTAGGGCCATTTGCACTTCCGGGAACCGTTATCACTTGGGGGCGGGGGATCCAAGGGTTATTGATTTTTGAATGCCCGGGTCAAATCACCTCTAGTATCCTTCCTATGAGTTTCATAACCCTAGCCACTGTAGTTCCCATGTTGCAGCGCAAATGTAAATATAAAACAAGAGCACAAATGCATATACACTCAAATGTAAGCGAGAGTATAAGTGCATATAAAGTTGAACCAAAATGTAAATGCATATAGGGACAGTAGCCAAGCGTATCCCACCTAGGTCATTTCCTTTCTAGAACTCGAATATGCACCGAACTTGATGGGATGCTCCGTAACCAGGTTCGATCCCCCCAAAACCGATTTTAACCGTCTTTTCGCTCTAATTTGGTTCAGCCTTGATTAAGGCTGACCTTTAAAAAGAGCAATTTGTCTCAAGGACAAATACTGGCCATT